CGGACACCCTCACACTCAACACACGCAGAAACACTCGTTCTCCCTAACCCCCACCTCCGGCCCCCACCTTTCCTTACCCCTCCCCCCTTCCAAAAAAAGCATACACACAACAACACCCCCCCCCCCAAACAAAACAAAAACCCAAAGACAAGTTCACTGGCTGAAGATGGTGGATTGACACTGACTCAGACAGAGGCAGGTTCACCAGGAAATCTGGCCATCCCGATTTCTGACAGTTGCATTTCCTCTCCTTCAGCCCCCCCCCCCCTTTATTAACTCTGTTCCATGTTTAATCAAGGATCATGTAGATGGCAAAAGGAGAGACAGAGAGAAGAGCGAAGAAGAGAGAGGGGGAGAGGAGAGAGACAAGAGACAGGAGGGGGTTTTTTGGTTTTGTTTTTGTTTTTTTATCGTGTTCTCCTGGAGTTTCAGTGGCTTGATCCCTATAAACGTGGAGTGGTTAAAGCTCATATGTCGAATTATATTTGGGGTTGGGTGGATGGATGCAAGAGTGAGAGAGAGGCTGCGGCTGCCGCTGCCTTTTCGGGTGTTGCTTAGATTAAGGCTGGGACTTGGCTGCGATTGGGACGCGACAGTGACACGGGCATCGATCGCTTCCATTGAGAGCAATGCAAAAGCACAGCCCGGGTATGTAACACTCGCGGGGCCACCGACACTTGTTTTACTTTGTATTTACTGGCGAAACTGACAGAGCTGGCTCAGGCTCTCTTTCTCTTTCTCTTCCTTCCTTCCTTTCTTTCTTTCTTCCTTTCTCTCTCCCTTTCTCTTCTCTCTTTTCTAATTGAAGACGAAAAGTAATTGTTTATAGAGATGTTTGAAAGCATGGGGCTTAAATTAAAACAGAAAGAAGATATTTTGGATTATTTCACTACCTCTGTGACTGTTAGAGTTTTTCTTCACTGAGAAGCATATTACAGAGAATGAAGGTTTTCTTTTTTCCTTCCTGATCCTTAAAAATATCCTTAAGGGAATATTTGATAGTTTTCAAGGTTTTCGGTTTCAATCAGCAGGAAGGCACACAAAAATAAAAGATGGCTAGCCAGCTGTTTTAACCTCTTGCACCTGGTTTCATTGTGGGTATCATAACGTTTATACAGTTAGTTTTAAATGGTGTTAATATTTATGACATAAACTATTGAAGAATATCACCGTGTCTTTATTTAATAGCTGGCTGCTTTTGTATGTAAAAAAGTAAACTCATATTCAAGTGTTTTCATTTTTTATAGCAATGAAGATAGGGTCAATGAAATATTGGGGCAAATACCATAAATCTGAAAAGTGAAGTGTACCCAGGGAACAAAGAAAGGTCAGGTAAACCAGCTGTGTATGTCAAAGCAGTAGTACCAGCTGTGGGGTTAGGCAGAGATAGTATAGTGGGCTCTGGATCTACAAAGTGAAAGTTGCCACTTGAAGTTAAAAATGAAGAAACCGTGTTCTATTCTAATCTTTTGCAGTTTTTAGCAGATGAGCCCAAATCTGTTCATTAATTTTGAGCTAGTTGGATTATTTTCAAAGATGCTGCACCAAAAAAGGAAAACATAAAGGAGGCAAAGAAAATTGCTGTTTAATATTGCAGAATTTACTGCTTCCATTCTGACCATGAGCCTAAATTTACACAATGAAATTTGATTATCTCTAATAACAATATTAGATCCTGCATTGGATGGATGAGAATTGAGGTGGTTTTGTTGATTGCAAGGGTTTAATGTTGCATTTCAGAATCTGATGTGGTTTGGCCTCCCTTCCATTAACTGGAAAACCCCTGAGGTTTTACAATTATTTCTTAAAGATAATACATTTAAGATTGCACTGGTAGGCTGAAGAAAAGTCATAAAGGCAAGAAGGGAAGCCCTTAATAACTCTTGAGATTCAGACATGTTCTGCAGTTAGATTGGCTCTGACTTCACCAAGGGTCGACAATGTGTCATTTCCACGAAGCCAAATTGCCCTCTGCCTATATGATATTAATGTGCAAATCAATATTTCAGGGATTAAATTTCCCTTCTTCATTTTTTATGGTTTCTACCTCAATAAGTCTCAAGTCTATTAGAAGAAGCTGGATGATTTAAAATCTTTCACTGCAGAATGGCTGGTCGTAGTCTTGTTTCACAGAGCATTTTAAGATTTTTGTTATAAAGACTAAAGGAATTCTAAAGAAGTTGTGAGGTAGGGTAGAGCCAGACTCAATAGTGTAAAGTCCTTGTTCGATTAAGAGCTAAAAGGCATTGAAAATGTAATATATATGTTTATCTAATATATATACATTCTGTTGCTTTAAAAATATTATGTTAATCACATATCGATTTAGTTCAAAATCAATTGAAGCTCCTTTCTTATTAGTGATTTGTTCAGCATTCTTGAGGACTGTGTTAATTTTCTTAAAGAGTGTGCATGAATTAGTTTGGTGTGAAAGTATTGGGGAGACAAATTTTCATTTAGCAACATTTTTCTAAGAAGTAATTTTAGAAACCATTGTTTGTGAGAGTAATACTCAAATGGTGTCATTTGCATACAGCGTTGTCATAGCTATCATGACATTTTGTGGCTGAATGACTTAGCTGATATCTGTTAAATGAGGCCTTCTCCAATTCTCTTTTAGATTTTGTTTCTAGCACTTAGTAGGGACATTTCCTTTTATACTCTTGGAGAAACACAACTATAAAAGAAATTATGTGATTTGATTGGAAATGACACGAAGCAGAAATGAGGGGGAGTCAAAATAAAAGATTGTGACTTTATCATATAATCTTGGGAAGGCCTACTGTCCATCATTTGGTCGTGTTTTATAGTCCTAAACCATTTGGACCAAGTTCCACACAGCTGCATGAATTTCATATGTGATAGAACATTTTTTCCATTCAGTGTGAAATGTTCCTTCCTAAAAAACGTACACCAGACTCGCTTAATTTAGTCTGTTAAAAGAAATGCACATGAAAAAGGACAAAAGTCTCTTTAATCTCTACAAGCTGTTTGTTTTTCTTCAAAATTCCTGTCTCTTTGGGTTTGAAAAGTCATGTTTATTGAGGAGATGATTCTGAGGTGTGACATTAAAATAATATATGATTTTTGGACTAGTGGCTATGCTCCTGCTTAATTTACTGAACTACTTTTTGTGCCTGTCAAAACACAAAGTTAATCTATCCTTATTTACAGTTAATCTCAATAAAATTAATCTTAACTATGCTTTATTCAGTGGCTTAAAATATCTAATTATATTCAATTAACTGCTGTCATAGTAATTAACATTGCTTAATTGCCTCTGCATATATTTATGTAAAGCTCATTAAGTGCTGCTGACTCCTTTTCCCTTTCCTACTTGCTATTTTTG